ACAAGATGTGGTTGTCAGTGTGAGTTCTCTGAAAAGTTGAAACAGAGGAATGTCCACCTGTTTCGCTTTTAGAGAAGTCAAGAGTATTGCTGTGGTTTATCAGTGGAGCTCGGAACACCCCTTCCGGGTCTGGTCTTTTTCCTTTACATGAATACGGACAGTGTGAGTGCAGGGGTTAGAATCTGACTTAGGTGGACCGTCACCCCTAACACTCGTTGTACTTAACAGGGGGCCCTTTCAAAAAGGCTGTCTTTTGTATGAGCATCTTACTCTGTAAGCTGTAAAGTGCACACATGTATGTCACATTTTGAATCGCCCAAATACACGCGCTTTTTCAAGAAAATAAATAGGCTGCAAGTTCTCCAATGATATGACAGTCTGTCCATTTGAATCCTAGGTGATAAGTAGGTGCGTAGTCTATTAAGAGGGAATATTAGCAAATAACACGTGCGGAGTGCCGTAAGAACATATTACCGTATTGAGTGACCTTTTTTAAGACAAGTCAGAATCACTCCTTTGAGAGAAACAGTGGGTAAAAATGGACTTGGAGGGGCCACTGTTGTTTATTATCTTAATATAGAGAAAAATGCATTTTTAATATCATGGCATTTAAATCAGTAATACTTTGGATCTTTTTGTAATACCTATAAGAGTTTACAGTGCCTGTAAGTTGTCTTACTCTTGTTGCTTCTTTATACCTTCATAGAACTGGGGTCAGATGAAGGAAACGGCATACTAATCACGGTTTTTGCTGCTGATTTCTATAGAATATAATTTTTAAATATATTTTTCTGAATCAGTGATTCTAAGAACAAAATTTACGTGTGAAAGTGGATAATGGTAAACAGGAAATAGCGTTTTAGAAACTGTACTGTAATGCTCTCTAAGCTGTGGCGATGATTGTAGACATCAGTTCCACCATGTAGCCGGGAGCTGCAGAAATGCGTGGTAAAAATGTAGACCGGTCCCCCAAAATCTTCACTTGGCTGATGTTTCAGAAAGGAATTTTTCCTAGGTAAACTAATTAAACTTCAGTTAGTTCAGTTAAATTACTTCAATTCTCAAAAAAGAATAATTTGATGGGTTATACAATTGTGTAAGTGGTGTGCATCTTTTAAAATGTTTGGTCTTTTTGGCTCATGCTGGCAGCCACCCATGGGAAACGGTCACGACAGCTGCCATGCAGAAATACCCCAACCCGATGAACCCTAACGTCGTTGGCGTCGACGTCCTGCACAGACACGTGGATCCCTCTGGAAAGCTGCACAGCCACCGGCTTCTCAGCACAGAGTGGGGCCTGCCCTCCATCGTGAAATCTGTGAGTGGGTCTTCTCGCCTGCACAAATGTGGCTGCTGTGGAGAAGTTTCTAAACCACATTAGAATTTCAAATAGGTTTGTGGGGGCACGTTCTGAATGTCATCTTTGCATCGGTCCAAATTGTATTATAATGAACTAGAGTTATAAGTGTATAACGAGTTGGAAATATTAGTACGGTCTTCATGGACGCACTGATAAAACCTTCTGAAGGAAGCCAGCTAATGCTGGAGAATCTGAAAGGAGGTAAATCTGCTTTTGCCAGCAACTTGAGACCAACAATAAGATGTAGGAGTGTCTGGTCCTGACTGCTGGCCAACAGCTCCTGTGGTCAGTGGTGGCTTGCACACATTGAGTAAAGAGTATATCCTCAGACCTTGCTGTTGCCACATTCGTCCCAACTTCTGGTACTCCTCAGCGATGAACAGAACTGTCGAGTGACGAGCGAGCAGGCTTTAACCAGCAGGAAACTAGAATGCCGGTCTACCATCATGTGACAGAAACACTGGGGTGATTAGTGGGTCCACTTTGCTGTAGAGGTTCTCTCTAGAAGGTGGGTCCACTCAGAAAACAAACAGATGCACATTTCTGAGCAGGAGTTCTCCGATTGCTTCCTTTGCACAAACCACTCTGGTAGATGGTGGAGGCACCGAGCTGAGCGGGCTTGGGGGGGCTGCGGTCGGCACGGGGCGTCCTCCTCCACAAGATGGCTGTTTGTCTGAACCAGGGAGCCCCTGCACCCTCTCTAGGAAGATACTGGCAGTTGCTCTTGGGCTCTGTGGTCTTTTTTAGATGCCACGTTGCCCCCACATCCTTGATTTCCGTAGCTCAGCTCCACTGCCCGTTGTCACACCGTGGCAGTCCCCACGTGCCGCTCTCCCTGCGTGCGTTCACAGCGGGCTGCTTCCTTATGGCCTCTGGGAAAGGGTTGGTAGCTGGTGGTCTCCACTCGTCCGTGGAGTGAATTCCCATTACTCTCAGATGGGCCTCCTTTCTGATCTTTGTTTCCTCGTGCTTTTTATGAAACAGGTTTTTGGTTCAAGAGATTATAACACATTTTTACCTTCAGAAGAAAGTATTGATACACTTGGTAGGAATTTTTTCCTGCTCTGATTGTCAATTCTGAATGTTTTAATTAGCTTATTGGTGCAGCAAGACCCAAAACATACGTGCAAGAACATTCTGTGGTTGATCCGGTAGAGAAGACAATGGAACTTAAATCTACTAATGTGAGTTTAGCTCCCTTTTGTTTTAATTTTGAACCACTGGGCTTTGACTTTTATCTCGTAGTTGCTTTATAGATGAATATATGTTCTTCCCGTGTGGTTTAGAAAATCAGCACTTCCCTGCTGCCTTTTGCCGGTAGCTGCTTTCCCCTCCTGCTCTCACGGTCCCAGCTCATTCTAGGGGATAAAACCCCCACTGTAGTGTTAGTGTTACTAGCTTTTTCTCAAATTTATGATTTTTATTAAAAAGTTGGCAGTCAACAGTGAAATTTAAATTCTGTTTCTGTAGCAGTATCAAAGTGGTTTATTTATTGGTGAGTTTTTGTTTTGTTTTTTGTATATTTAGCTAGTAGATTTTGGTTTTTGGGTTAATTTTGGAAATATTTTTCATCTTAGTTTCCAGAATGGTTTGACTATATTTGTTTTGTTTTTTTTTTCATTGTATAGATTTCATTTACAAATATGGTTTCAGTAGATGAGAGACTTATATACAAACCACATCCTCAGGACCCAGAAAAGTAAGTAAAAAGTGTTTTTAACATTCATTTCACTGGTGGTTGAATTTTTTTTTACCAAATATTTATTTTAAAAAATGAGAATTGGGTCATCACAGAGCTGTGTAAATGCGTTCTGTTCTAGAACTGTTTTGACTCAAGAAGCCATCATCAGTGTGAAAGGGGTGAGCCTCAGCAGTTACCTAGAAGGCCTCATGGCGAGCACCATGTCTTCAAATGCTAATAAAGTGAGTAAGCTGCTTCCTCCGTGGTCCTCTTGCCTGCTTTTGTTTCATGGAGGAGCTGGCCGCTGAATCCATGCTTGTCCTTGTACGCGGACTGCATGCAGGGAGAGCCCTGTGGTGTAAGGCAGCTGTCTGCATAGGCTCTGGGTGTGACCCTGACCAGACTGCCAACCCTGGGCATTTCACTTAACCTTTCCGTGCCTCCATTTCCCATCTGTGGAGCGAGGACTCATTCCCCAGCCTGCAGGGTCTGTGTAAAGAGTCAGTGGGAGAACATACAGAAGACGTGTGGCCAGGGCCCAGCACATAGGAAGTGCTCCGATAGCGTGTGGCTGTGTTGTCGTTGTTTAAAGCAACCTTGTTCATTATCACACCCTTCCCCCAGATCTGTTTTAGACAATTTTTCCTAGTTGTCCTTCCCAAGAGATTTTAATACCACAGAAATATGTATCTGTCCTTCATACCTGAAAAAAAAAAAGAGGTTTCTTTCCTCTACCACTTTCTGAGCTAATTTTTGTTCCATTGGTTTAAAACAGAAGTAAACGTAAAGAAAGAGATACTTAATGTACTATTTATAATACATGCTTAGTAGTATAGTCGTTCAGCAGTTGAAAGAGACTCACTAGACGCTTCTCTATGCCAGGCAGAGTGCTAGGCTAGGCTGGGGATACGGTGGGGAGCAAAGCAAATGCTGTCCCTGTCCTCGTGGATCTGAATACTGAGAAGCATGTCATTAGGAAAGGAAAGGTACCCGGAGGTATGGGAGTGTTGGATGAGGCCGTGGCTGGGTGGTCAGGGGGTTTTCTCACCGTGATGTTTCTGGTGAGTGCAGCAGGAGGGGTGGGTAGGCGTGAGGGTGCCAGAAAGAGTGGGCCAGGCACAGGCGCTGTATGTGCACAGGTCCTGAGACAGACGAAGCATGGGATGCTCTTCTCAGTCCTTCTCCAAGAGGGAGGAGCAAGAAGAAAGCCAGGGACCAGATCCTGCGGGGCCTTGTATAGGATTTTGGTTAAAATGTGGACGATTCTCACCCCCCGAAAATCATGAAGTAGTTAAGACATCACTGTCATTTAATTGTGGGTTCTTTTGAGAACATCTTTGCATACAGAATAAAAATCAGTTCATGGATCAGGCCAGTTGCGCAGGACATTTGATGTTTGGTATATAGCATCAGGGAAGAGAAAACCAGGACAGAAATGATTGGTTCCGGGAGGCGTATGTGGTTATACCTGTAATACTCCGTGGTACTTCCCAGCGTGCTGTTGATTTGCTTTGCTCTCACTTGGGAACAATAAATGAACTGACTTTTTTTTAAGGGCCGAGAAGCCATGGAATGGGTCATCCGTAAATTAAACGCTGAGATTGAAGAACTGACGGCCTCAGCCAGAGGAAGCATGAGGACCCCGATGGCGGCAGCCGCGTTTGTAGAGAAATAACAGCGAGAGCAGCGTGCAGCATCGGGTCCCAGGTCTCGACGCTGGCAGCGTATTTATTTGTTATTTAAGAAGTACAACTATATTTTAGGTAGACTTGTTTTTTTTTTTTTTTTTTTTGTAATAAGCTGGAGAAAGTCGATGTGACTTTTGATCAAAACAAAGAGGTGCAGGGCTTCTAACTAAGAGGGATCATCTGAAAATAGTGTTCTTTGAAATGACCTTCTATTTTAGGGTTCCAATATTGATGTGAAAATGTAATGATTTTTTTAAAAGGACTTTGAAATTGGTATTGGCATATTGAATCTCCTCAAGGTAGGATTTGAAGGCTTTCCATGCGTTGGAACTCTGTCTGGCTTTGGACCAACCCCTGAACAGAGCAGAGCCGTTTTGGGGACACAGGCTGCCCTGTTGCACTGAACTTCAACAAGCATGCACAAAGAATATCACTTAAAAAAAGGAGATATTGCATACTTTTAAAAGCCATATTAATTTGTATAAAATACCTTGCTCTGCTATAAACCACCATTAAAAGAAACCACAATGCTTTGATTTGGTACTTCAGTGATATTTTTGGAATGCAGATTATTACTAAAGTAATACATGATTCCAACAAAATAGGATTGTGTTGTATTCAAGAGTACTGTATTGATTTGCCAAAGTTTTGTAACTTAGTAAAAGTATCACCTTCCTTGGATTTGTACCTCCAGAAGTCTTTGTGATTTAGTGTGCTGTACTGTGGGCAGGCTCGTTAACTGAAGAATAAAGTCACTACCTGAATTTTGCAGCACTCTGAACTTAAACGGGAGAATGGCTGTTCACATCTTTCAGCATCTCGCATTTGCCTAACTTATAAATTGCCATGTGTCAGAATCATGGTTCTGTAATTGCTAAAGCATATGTCAGGTGATTTGAATATAACTACATTTTGAAGTAATTGTGACCACAAAACATCTTTTTTACATGAAGAGCTGTGCATCATTTGAAATTGCTCAAGTGATGTCTTGATCTGAAGCATAAATTCCAAGCACTTCATGTTTTTAATAACACGGTGCCACTGCAGGGTGTAGGGGGCGGTGGGGAAGAAAAAAGAATAAAAGGAAAATAAAGGGATTGACCTAAGCTAAACCACTGATGGAACTGCACTGCAGATTTTGTTTTGGGGAAGTCCTTATTTTGGATGCCAGAGGGCAGCTGCAATCAGAAAAACAATCCAGTAAATTTTATTTCATATTTTGTAGCAAGTAATTGTCAGCACTAAATAATATCTTTGATACTTGGCGATTGTTGCATTCAGAGTGTTTTTTTTAAAAGGTGATTAGCTGTTGCCTTTATTTTTTTAACACTTAAGTGATAAACTTCTAGTTAGGTTTTCTAGGAAAGAGACCAGCTAATATATGTACATAAACCACAGA